TTCAAAGGTTTAGTTAGTGCAGTGGTTCTTATTCCATTGGTCTGGAATGGAGCATTTATTTTTTTTAAACCATTTCAGGTGATTGTAATGGGCAGCCAGGGCTGATAACCTCTGGAATATCAGAAAACTTAAGACAAGTCAGTGGTGATATGATTTCAAAAATCAGTTGTTCCTCTGCTTCCAACAAAACATTAATAGAAGTCTGGTATGCAAGGTAAAGAAAGTAGTTCCTCTCTACATTTCTAGTTTAAACACCACACCCACTTCTGCCACCTTTTAAGAGGCAGGTTGGCTAATTGATTTCATCCAGGATGTCAAAAGACTAAAGGCCACGTCATCTCTGACATACAATTTAAAAATGACGTGATAGTTGTCTTTAAATATTTTTAAAGGGCTGTCATGTGGAAGAGGGATTAGAATTTTTCTTTCTTTCTTTTTTTTTTTTTTTGCCCTTGTCTTGTCGAAAGGGTAGAAATTAAAAGGAGGAAAATTTCAGCTCAGTGTGAAAAATAACTTTCTACTAAAGTGGACTTTCTGAATGCCATCTTTAGAAGTATCTGCTCAGAAATTGCGCAGAATCCTCTCGAGGACGTTGTGGCGCATTCCTGTTTATATGCACCTCCCAACTTTGAACTGTCCAGATTGCAGTGTCCACGAAGGCCAAATCCATATGCTTTGTTTTCTTTTTTTTTAACCAGTAGAAGTGGTCCAGTGCCTTGAACAGAGTAGGACCTTAATAAACATTTATTGAACATATGAATGTTGAATTTACCTTTCTATATATTTCAGCAGGAAACTAAAGGTTGTGTCTGCAATTCAGAGTAAAAGTAAACATTTGTACCAATTCAGATTTATTCTTTATTTAAAATACAGTTGTTGAGCTAAAAATTAGTTATTTGCTTCAAGTTATCTGATTATTTCTTTTCTTTAAGATTTATTTATTTATTTGAGAAAGAGAGAGAGCACACACACAGGGGGAGGGGCAGAGAGAAAATCTTAAGCAGACTCCCCACTGAGCGGGGAGCCGGGCACGAGGTCAATCCTACCACCCTGAGATCATGACATGACCCCAGCCAAAACCAAGAGTCGGACGCTCAACCAACTGAGCTACCCAGCGTCCATGATTATTATAATTTCTAATTTACTTTCTCACCTGTCTTAAAGGCAGTTATGTAAAAATGTGCACACACATCTGGAGCCTCGCTCCATTTCTTCACACCTTCTAGAGCGCTGCCCGCAGATCCTCCTGTCCTCACTCCTCGTTCACCTTTGTAGGACCGCCCAGTGTTCAGCCCCAGTGGACCGTAGTGGGGCCTGGCTGTCCATTTCACTCCAGCTATCACTGCTATCCACTGATCATCATGACTAATCAGATGGTATGACAGTCTGCACCAATCATTAAGATGACCCAAATTAACAGCCTGGCCATGTCACAGTACATTCATTCCACATATACAGACATGGCCTAAGTGTGAGGCAGAAACTTGGATGTGCTTATTTGTATTTGCATCGTTACATGCATTATTGATTGTCATGAGCTGCTTCAACGCTTTAAATCTGCAAATGAGAATCATCTGTTAATTATTACAGCCAGAATGGAGATCTGAGGGCAAAAGACAAAGTGTACATGCCTTTTTCTACCAGCATATCCTTTCGTTTGCCATTTTCCTTCACAGTTACATGGTAAAGCATCTTAGCGCAACACATTCCCCAGCTTTTTGCTTAGAAGGGATACTTAATCAGAATGTTTTTAGATCCGGAAAAGAGAAACAGATCTCTCCTAGCCAGGTGAAGAAGGTAGTTCAGGCTCTGAATTGTAAGTTCATGGTGGGAATTCTGTAATCCAATTTCCTACTGTATACTGGTTAGTAAAGCTCAGTTCTTGACAAAACACAGGCAGCCTTATCTTAATCACAATTCCAATTGTTGGCACCTTGTGGTGCCTGGTGTAAATTATCCCCCAAATATTTGCATTCTTGATAGCCATTTCTCTACAATGCATTTAATAAGTAGAGGGTCCTATTACCTGCTAAATGTTAGTATAAATTAACAATCCATTATGTACAATAAGTTTTATAAAACATTTACAGATAGAGATCATGTTTAATTAAAATTAACTTGCATATGAAAGCCAAGTGCACTAATGATCACAATGACCTTTTATTACCTACAGTCCCTTGTTTTGGCTGGATGATTGACAGCTTGCTGTTTGGCTACCATGTTGAATTTCAGCTGACAAGACTTTTCATTTTAACTCAATTTGCCCGCCTATCACAAGCTGGTGGCAGGCCAGACCCAAGTCACCCAGCTTTGCCTCAGCAGCTTGCTCTACTTCTCATTAGTACGCATTTATTCAGTGGAAATTGGAAGACAAATGCTTGAAGGCATGTGAACTAAGTATAGCAAATTAGGTTTAAAGACTGAATATTTATAAGTATATGGAAAGTTTTTTTTTTTTTAATTCTAGAGCGAATTGAGAACTGAGTGCTAGCTTTGGTATAAAAGAAATGAAGATAGCAGGGGGAAGGAGGATTCTAAGAATAACAATACTATAAGCTTTTTCTTTCCATTTTGGAAATATGTAAAATCTCTCTGACAACACCTTATCAAATACCAACCTGGCCTCTCTTTCGTGGAGTGCTTGCACAATGAAGTTTAACACCTCGTGTGTGAGAAGGGGGGGGAAAATGAGGGTCATGTTCATTTGTTGCTTGGTTATCCCTTGGTATGTTTTAAATTGCCTTGTTTGTTCGGCAGTAGCACAGAAACAGATGTTGCTCTCCCGTGCAGGATAATTTACTGTACCTCCTGGTGCAGCATGGAAGTCCTCCCAGGGCCCAGCTGGTCTGTCAGTGGCACTGGCTGGTGTCTGCTCAACTATGACAACTACAAGTAGAGGCTGCAATTTTTTTTTATTGTGCAGTTGTCATTCTTCTCAACATATAGCTCTGCCCGCGTCCTTACTGGGGCTGGTGGAAAAGCTGCTGGCTTTTGTGTCTGTACGTTGTAACGCAGAGCCATGGAAGCTCCCCCCTCCATTGTTGATAATAATGCAACTCATTACTTTTGTCATCTAATGATTATCGGCATGATCGCTCAGAGCGAGAGCCAACCTCGTCTTGCACACATAACTGGTACTGGAAGGTAAAACAGATTTGTCATTTACGATCTGACCGCTAAGCCACACTTTGGGCTCCATTATTGTGATTAACTTCTGCATAAGATATGCTTGCCCAATTGTCATTTGCGATCCCGCAGTGGGCGCAAGCTGCCATGCTTCCCTCGAGCCCATTGGCCAGTCGGATGGGACCATGTTATTCGGACTGGTAAATGCCTGCCCTGCCACAGAGCCACCCCACAATGATTTTGCTTTTGCATTTCTTCTTCCCACACGCCTACTGGACTTGGGGGAACAGCACTGCTACATATGTCAGCTACCATTTCACACCACAGGCGAAAATGGTGCTGTGCTGTTGTTGATCCAACAGAGCCAGCAGCCATACCTGGGAAGCTGACCCTTGCTTTTCACCATAGAAATGTTGGTCACTGGTGTCCTGCCAGCTGAAATCCGTCATGTCAAGTGCCTTGTGGCTATCTGCAGTAGGGTCCACGTTCCAAAACCAAAGTTCTTTTCTGGCCTCATCACCAACAAACCGATTTGACTCTGCCTGATTATAATAACGAAGGCAGTCCAAAAGAATATGCACAGCTTCACTGTACGTCACATTGAATCACCACACTGGCCACACAGAGTGGACCGCAGCCTCATTTCTTTAGACAAATGCACGCTGAGGGGAAAATGTCCAGGGAGAAGGCACCCAAAGCTACTTGATATCCCTGTGCAAGCTCTGCGTAGATTTAAATTTTAGTGAAATAGCATTTATTTTTCTTTTTTCGCTGATGCAAGCCCTCACTGAACTGACCAGTGCACTGCTATAATCTAATAATTGAGTACTCTATGTTTCTGAGCTTTGCTGAACACCAAGAAATTGGTGTGTGTGTGTGTGTCTAAATTGCAAGCCATAAACACAACGATTTGTTACCATGTGAAAGGGGGAAGATGCTCAACTGGAGCTCTTTTTCACATTGCTGATTAGAAAGGATCAAGCTTTATATTCTAGGACCCATTCACGCTGGTGAAAACATAGTCAGTTTTGATTATGAAGACAGAGACGCAGACCTAGACAGGAGCTACATGCTGATATGCATGCTATCAGAATGATTTATGCAAATTATGCATATTATTCCCAAAGGAATTCCTCCTCAAACTGCCAGGATAAATTGCCGGAAATTAGCCATAAAATCTGTCGTGCTAGGAGCAAAAGGTGAAGGCCACTGGGAAAGCAAGGACATTCAGCTTCTGGAATCTTCCAGGTTATGATGGTGGCTATTATTTTCTCTGGATGCTGAGGAAAATACGGTTTTCTTCTGAATCCTATGAAAGTCTTTTCTTCTTTGAAATTTTTCCAACAAATGCTGACCCACATTTTATTTACAGCTAGCATAAAAGAAATTAAGTGTTAAGCCATTGAAGAAAGCACTACTACAGTTACTTTACTATTAACTGCCTAAGTGGTTATTAAATGCCTAAGCCTGGCTTTAAAGATGTAGCTGTTCTGAAGGGTGGTGAAGTAACCCACCAGCAGCGTTCTTCAGCTGGGAGATGGTTTTAATGTCCAATGGATATACCTATCACACAGCATTTCTCTCTTGCAAACCTTTCCTTCCTACAAAAATCCTAGCTAATAACCTGTCTGCCCAAGTACAGCACAGCAGCATTCTGTCTGTGACTGGGGCCAGGTCACAGCTCTCTCCCCCGCCTCCTCATTGCTCTGGGAGTCCAAGACCACCAGGGCTCTCCCCTTGGTGCTCAATGGATCTGATTAGAAAAGGGTCCCCTTTTCAATCAAAGCTATTGGTAATGAGCTTAATGACAAATTGAGAACACTGTTCAGGAGCAGTCATGTTTTAATAAGCTGTTGCTTGCTTGTGTCCTTCAGAAAGCACCGTTCTCGAGGTTTTACGACTATGCTCATTTTCAAGCATCATGCGTTTTGTTCAAGAGGATTTGACTCTACAGTCAGAGACACAGGACTACTGTTTGCGAAAGGGGGACTTGGTAGCCATCTTTCCTCCAGCCATACATTATGACCCGGAAATCTTTGAAGCTCCAGAGGTAAACAAGCATTAGGCAGTCTTGTTGCTACTTCTTAGATAAACTGCAAGCACATTCCTCTTCCTCACACTGTCTTTCCGTGGTTTCCTTCTGCCACCTCATTCCAGAAGGAATTTGAGACGGATTGATGACTTCTGTTCTGCCTTCCAATGGGAAAATTTTCCTACTTACTGAAGTGTTTCCTAAGGATCCCTCTTCAAAGGTTTTGTGGTCTATAAATAGAAATAGAATGATGAGACTAAATGCTGGCTTCTTCAAATGAAATGGGCATTTTACGTTGACCATCATTACCTTTAGGCCAAAAATAGGTTTTGCTCGGCAGAGAATTATTGAAAACCATGGAGGGCTAGCTAATGACAGGTGGCTTAGAGAATAAAGAATGAGGACTGTTTTGCTAAGTGTTTCTAGAGTGGGGTTTACTGTCCCCAGATCGAGCACCATCATTGCCGTAGTTAAGCCCATATACTTTTTCACCTCTTACCAAAGGTATATGCCCCTTTTTGATCAATCAGGATGGCATTATGAACCTGAGATTGTAAAGCTGCTGCTCACGGGTGAAGCTCTGAGGGTAATTGTGTCATCTCCTTGTATTTTTTTCTGAAGCTGGAGTTAATGAATATCAAAGACTGGAAATTAATCCACCCTGGCTCATCCCTTAATACCACTTCAGAGGTTCACCACCTGCATGCAAATTGAATGCAGTCATATTCTGCCTGTGTGTCTCATGAAGTACTGTTTTTACTACAGTGGTTTTGTATATGAAATGCTATTTTTCAAAGGTAAACTTCTGTGCTCTTTTTGAGCAGTTCATAGGGGGATCACTTTTAAACCATTTCTAGGTTAGATGTTTTGCAGCCACGCTAGATGAAAATAGTGTTGAATTTTGGAAATTAATAAGAAGAGGACAGACTCCAAATACAATGAGATAATTTGCATCTATTTCATGAGCAAAGGCAAAATTTTTTAAGTGAGGGGGAAAGTATACACATGGTTTCTATGTGTTTCAGAAGAAGAGGCATTATATGTAGCTGATAACAAATCAGAAGTAGGGTATTAGTAAGTGAATGAACATTCTGTGGAAAACTAGCTTTGTCTCCACATTTGTAAATATAAAAAAAAATTATTCCACACAGATATTCAGTAAATAGGGCAAATAATAACTAATATTTAAAAAATATTTTAAATTTTAACTTTTATTTCTATCTATAGTTTTTTTATTTAATGTCTATTTATTATTTTCATTATGTGACTGTTCCACTAGTCATTGTTTACCATTCATATCATGATAGTAAAATCAACATTAAAGTTATCAGCAAATACACGATAAATGTTTACCAATTTACCGCTGTTTTTGCGGTACTGTTCTTTGGTCTCCAAAATTAACTAGCTAGTTTTTTTGCCAACATTGTTTTCTTGAAATTAGTTGTGGAATGCTGATCATTATTGGCACAGAAAAATATGACATGGTTCAGAATCATTTTTATATGATGTGGCAAGGTCTTACATAATCATTCATTCTGTGAACATTTACGGAGCACCTACTGCTATCAGACAAATAGATTTATTCCTGTCATTTTTATGAACTTCGGATGACAATAAGTAGGTGCTATAGATGCTCATAGAACAGATGCCCATCTGAAACCACCATCCATTGACAGTAAAAAAGAGAAGGAAATCCTGGGAAATTCTGCCCTTGGCCATTTGTCACTGAGAACACAGACCCAGAAGCTCTTCAGAGGCTCATATTCCCCACTGCCTATCTTTTGTGCCCTATAGATCTTGAACGGGAAGACCAGGCCTTAGATATAGAAAACAGACAGTAGCTATGAGTCCAGAAACTTGAAGAAGACCAGCTCCAGATGTAAGTATAGTTCTTCTTTGAGGACACAGATACTGAAGAGCCTTCGCAGAACATAGGTTCTCCCAACCCAATGAGGCATGATTTCAGGATGTTCAAGCCCAAGAGACTCTAGAATATCACATTCCAAAAAGAGTCCGTGGCCTTCCTTCACACACCTCTCTATTCCTAGAATGTTCCTCTTTGTCCACTCAAAAGGTTCCAGATGACTCCACAAGAATCACCCTTGATCACCGCTTCTTTGGCAGTGTTCCTGATTCCCACCTCATTACGTTCCTCAGAGAATTTGCCATTGCCCACTCTGTGGCCTCTTGTACCTTTGTTATAGTGCCTAGCACCTGCTGTTTTCCAATTATTTGTTGGTTTGTCTGTGCTCCCACAGGCTGTAAGCTCCAGAAGTGGAAAGACCCCAGCGCTCACTGCCTTCTCCGCATTCTTAGTGCCTAGCATACGAGGGTGTCCACAGGGCGAATAAATAAGGGGATGCTGGAAGGAATGAATGCTCTGAAAGTGAAAATACACTTCAATTAGAATTTTAAATCACCACCGATATTGCATATTCAAATATGTACTGGGCCTAACTAGAACAAATGGATGAAGTGGCTTGTGTATAAATGTAACAATACTATCAGGAGTGGTAAAATCTATGAGGAAAGGAGAGCCCAGAGGTATCTAAATAAGACCATTTGGCTACTTTTGAATTAGCCTTCAGCTCTTACAGGCACATAGGCCTAGCATGGCTGTCATTAAAAAAAAAAAAACTCAGAAAACAGATTTTGGGGTAAACTTTAGAATTTTTAAAGGTTTGGATAAACAATGTTTAAAAACACAACATGGGCTAAACAAAAAGTGTTTGGGGACCTAATTTGGTCTATAAGCTATCAACATGTAACTTCTGTGTAAAGAATTATTCTTTTTCTGAGTATTGGGTGCTTAGTTTATTGTAATAATAGCCACTTAGGTGGCTCTTGCCTATATGGGAAATCAATTGGCAACTAAAATTGAAGACAATGAGAGAGAGAGCACAGGAAACACCCCTTCTCAGTTTTCTTTTCCCTCTCTTCGTTGGTCTAAATGCTGTTCAAAAAAGCCTAGATAATTTAAGAATAGATAGCTTTTTAAATTTTTCTGAAGGCTTCCTCAACTTTACATCTATTATTAGCCAGAATTCAAGCAACTGGCGCTCACATAATTGGTAAATGGTGATGATTTCCTTTCTGCCAAAATGCAGCATCCCAACCTGGAACTATGAAGAGGAGCAAATCTATTGGTTGGTTTTTCTGTGGCCAGAGGTGGTAAGGTACAAAGGGAAGCCTGGAAACACTGTTGAGCCATAGGGAAGAAACAGCAAACTTTTAGGGTGGTAACACTTTATCGCAGCCATGTAGCCTCCTAAAGTAAGGACACAGGGAAACAACAAAGTAATTACAAAGCCACTGGAGCACTCCCAAAACCTCTGAAGCTGAAAGACCTTACCTGACCTCATGCAAGTCTGCCCTATCTAACTTCTCAGCCGTGTAGGGACTCTGAAATGATAAAACGAATTTGAAAGCCCTTGAATAAATTCTAAATCACTATAAAAACTGTTGTCTCAATATTGTTCTGATTATTGTCACTGTTCTACAAATATGCTAGTCATAACAAATGAGGAAATACTCTAATTTTTTGTCTGTACCTCAAATTGGAATAGAGATCATGCCACCAGTCTACTTCAGGGAAACAAATGTATACTGAGCATCTGTTATCCAAAAAGTACTTTGATGGACACAATGGGGCGCACAGAAATTTAAAAGGTCCTTGTCTTTAAGAGCTTAGAGTTCAGGGAATTGGCCTTATCACACAGCTGTGTTCTCAGAGCTAAGTGCTTCGTGTTGAGAGGGTTTCTGCCATACCGGTAAATTGGCCTTCATGCCCACTATGTTGGAATCAGCAGTGTGCTGGTAAAACAGCCCTCTGAAAAGCCCTGATTTTCTCAATGTTTGTGGTTTAAATACTCCCACGTGACTGATTTCATGTGACTAATATGAAGACCCTCAACGCAGAGCTGGGAGGAGATGTGCACACTCTCTCGAGCTAGTACAAACGAATTGGAATTTAAGTCATGCAGATAAAAAGGAACTCTGTCATCTTGCTCCCAGTAGGGCTGATTGTAAACCCAGGGCAAGAGTGTAGCCCCTTAGTCATCCACTCAAAACACTGGCAGTTCTTATTTTAGAAACTTTTCTTTCCTCTACTCTGGATTCCTACACCCAAAATGATAACTGAATGAATACGAACCCTGATTATATTGTATGTCACCCACCTCAGCAAGGCTACGTTTTAATGCCTTTTTAACTTCAGTGTTTCACATACAGGAAGTGCTCAAAACAAATCTCTTAAACTGAACTAAACACAATATTGGAGCACACAAATTAGGCTCCTCAGTCACTTGTACCAAAACTCTTTTCTATCCAGAAAATTGTATCATGTATCCAATCTTGATTTCTAGTGCTAAATATTATACCATTCTCTATTTATGAACGCTGAATATTCATCTACGCTTCATTCTCTACATGTTTATTTACTCATTCAATATCTGTGTTTTCTTCAGAAGCCTGAAGATTGCTTTTAAAATATACTTTATTGTCATGTATTTATTCATTAATTCAACAAATGTATATGGAACCTCTACTATGTACACAGCACTATGTTGGGTGCTTTGAAAATACAGAGATAAATAAGACAATGTGACAACTCCGATATCCTGGGATTTCTTGTCTCTGCCATCTCCTGTGGGTTAGCTCCATTGTCAACCTGGTGACCATAGCTGTTGCCAGCATCAGAATCACATAGACCTAGGTCCAGAGGAGAAGGGGTCATTAACCTTTTTTTTTGTTCATTTGTTTTTCTTTGTTCACAAGAAAGGAAGTTCTATCAGATGTCCTCACAGACGTTTCCTCTGTAACAGTGATGAGATTTATTTACACACCCTATCCTCAGTCACAGGCCAGAGCAGTGTGATTACCGTGATGGGTGCCTAGACAAACTTCAGCAGAAGAAAGATGTTCAGAAGTCAACCACAAAAATTATGAGAGGAGTAATGGGGAATTACAGTGTCATACCCTTTCTTTTATGATTTCTCTATTCTCATCCGCTTAATAATATGGCATTTAATTGACTGTCTTCAGTTGTGAAGTGCTGAGCTATTAGGGTGACTGCAAAGAGTTTACATCAACATGACAAGGCCTGCATTTAAGTTCCTCCAAATGAATGCATGCACCTTGAGCTCATAACACTTTATTCTATGTCACTGTGACCCCAGAATCTTACAGGTGAGACTGTTATACCCCTTCTCTTTTTGGCAAGAACCAGACAATCTCCCTAGCCTCTGCCACAGGTCTGTCCTTTGGTTTCTGCTCTAGTTCTGCATGCCCTGACAATGGAAAACAAATTGAAAATAAATCTCAACTCAAAAATATATTTATGCCTATGTGCCCTTTGAGCTTGATGGTAGTAACAGAGCAAAAGAAGTTGGTCTTTCCTGTTCTTGTTTCATAATATAAACAACTAAGTAGGAATTTCTAAGATGTTTACTATAAAGAAATGGGATAGAAGGTGGTAGAAAACTAGAGGAGTGACATTGCTGATTGAGTAGAAATTTGAGGAAATTGAAGGTGAACACTACCTATAGGTCACAGGGATGGGGGAGCATCAATGCATTTATCCTACTGGCCTCTCAGACGGCAGTACATTCACTTTCACAAAGAAGAACAGGACAGCTATGAAATAAAGCAATTGTTGGCTTATTTACGAAATCGGGACCCTCTGAAGTCATAACCCAAGTCAAGTTTTCCTTTTCTATCTCCTGGCTTAATGAGTGTGGCAATAGTGAGATCTTTTTCCAACAAATTATTTCATGAGTAAGTTAACTTGAACTGATGTGACTATGTGAGGAGCTCCTGTGGAGCATTCTCTCCTCAGATTGGTCAGTGAGAAGGTGGCAGCACCAGTCCTTAACTCAGGCAAGCAGGCTTGGGCCCCAATCACGGAAAAGGTCATCAGGAGAGAGTACCATATTGTACTCTATCTCCAGTAACAAAGTGCATGTCAGCAAGAGTGTCCTAGTTCATTACTACAGGGGGGCACAGATATTTTTAGTTTAGCACTAGTTAGATCCTATTCAGATGCATCCCAGAACTGTCTGTGGGGGTGGAAAATACTTGTGTTCTAATGTAGATTAATTTGCCCTTATGATTGCACCAACTTGCAAGTTGGAGGGGAATTGAAACCACCCATAGTGTGCTTTCCAAGCATGAATCTTTATCAAAATAGGTATCTAGGTGGAAGAAGACAAGCCCAGTACTTTTTAAAGGAAATTATTTTGATGGCATTCATATTGAGTGAGAAAATTAGATCATTTGCGATGGAGTCAGAATCCAGCCACATATTGTAGGGTTTTCACTGTAACATGAAATGCTTTCAGTCTGACCTGCTTCTTTGCCTCTGACTTCATGTAGTTCATATCAAACTTGTGTGCTGAGCAGGTCTAATGCTAATGAGCACCAAGTATAGGAAATACTTGGTCATTTTCATGCATGCCACATGCATTAATTTAATCAATGGCTTAATTCACCATGGGCTGAAATAAGGTCATTTAGTTTCTTCTAAGAAACTCATGTGAGAGTAAATTAATGCCAGGCTAAACACCCTAGATAAACCAGTCCCGTAATTTTCTGTAACAAGTTAATGTAACTTATTTATGAAAACATATTGGAAATACCTGCCATCCTAGAGATAGCCCAAAGAGAGTCCATTGTAATAGCACCACGCTAGGAGAAATTCAGTACAACATCAAAAAACAAGCAAGATGGGTTTGGTGGCTCAGTTCCTCTATAGTGCTACATGTGAATTTCAAATTTCATTTTATGTCTATTTAACCCAAACATAAACACTGAATCCTAAGCTCACAGTCCTCATCCATCAGGAAAGACTAGAAAAAGCATATTAGGCAGCTCCTGTGGCCAATAGAAGTCAATATCCCGTGGCCGTGCAGGAGTCCTTACCTATTACCCAGCATCAGTCCACCAAGTGGGACCATCTTAGGGAACAAAAATACAGAGACTATCTCTACATGTAGGAGCCTCAGCATAAGAGAGAGATGCGAATTAGGAAGAGAAGTCATATAGGTATGTGCATTTATTTCACCATGATAAGGGAGAAGTCATTTCTTAGTAGCATTTGAGTTTTTTTGAAAGTTCATCCCCAATTTACACCTAGTCAAGTTTTACTCTCTGGGCGTTTGCAGGATTCAGAGGAGGCTTTTCAGAAAGACAGAGAGAGCGGGCAACTTTGTGGACCTGACCTCAAACTATTTCATGTAAATTTTGCACTTTAACTAAACTCCTTATCTCTTCTCTACAGGAGTTTAGGTTTGATCGTTTTGTAGAAGATGGTAAGAAGAAAACCGCCTTTTTCAAAAACGGGAAAAAGCTGAAGTATTTCCTATTGCCATTTGGATTTGGAGCCAGCAAATGTCCAGGCCGATTTTTGGCAATTGTTGAAGTAAAGCAATTGTTGGTTGTACTTTTAACTTATTTTGATTTAGAAATAATTGATGCTAAACCTATGGAAGCAAACTACAGTCGCCTTTTGTTTGGTATTCAGCATCCAGCTTCTGATGTTTTATTTAGGTACAAAGTAAGATCTTAAAAGAAGTGATAAGGAAAGAAAAGAAATCTATCTGAACTAACCTAAATGTCCTCGGCTCATCTATCTGTCTTGAATTTCTGCAAATATAATTGCTTTGTTTGTTGGTTTGTTTGTTTAAAAAGTGCCAATTTATATTTGATCTGCGATCAGTCCAGTTCGTACTTGGTCACAAAACCCATCATAAACTAAAAGAGGTTGTTGACATGAAAATAGACATCATAATCAGCATAATGATAAACTCAAAATAGCCTTTTTCTGTTTTGCTACATATTGTGATTTTTGCTCATCATGCATGGTAAATGTACCACAATAAATTTGGCACTGTGGGATTTTTTTAAGTCACTCAGATTCTTCTCTAATATGTAAAATCCCACTTTATGTACTAGTGGAAATTTGTGCTGGAAATGGACACAGTCTAACAAATTCAAAATTCTCAGAGAAGAAGGAAACTAAATTTCCATGAGATAAACTGGATGAAAATGTTCCCTTCAAGTGTAATATCAATAATGTCTATATCACCTGGGTACTTTTGCCTTAAATGAGTTTTGCAGTAGATTAAATGCTCCAACTTCACTTCAATATTTAATCATCCATAAATGTTCTTTATTACTTTGTATACTATGGCTCAATGCAACAAAATTTCTCATTATGTAAGACCACTCATGTTAAGTTAGATACTGAGAAGATTTAATGTATAAGAACACACAGAACCTATTATATATTCAGCATTTGCCTGAGACGTTAGTATTAGGTTTGTCGTTAAGAGCAAATGTTAAAATCATGACAGGATTGATGGTAGCATCTGGTTTTAGTGTAAACTCTGAGGGCTATACCAGTATTGCAGTGAACTCTTTCCTAAATGCTTCCATTTATATAAACTGAGAAACCAGATCGCAGTATTTGTTCTTGACACATCACCTTTTGGACCTGGAGTTTATCTGTATTCTTTTGAGTTACACTGTTATGGAATGCAGTATAATTTTATGTGCCACAGTGTAGCATTGTGTCCATGATTCAAAGCTTTCTAATTTCAGCTTACCCGGTGATTGGCATCTGACCTAAATGATGCTACTGTATTTAAACAGGAAAAGCAGGTAATAAAATTCAGTTAATTTGCGTTGCGTGGATTGGAACTTCTACGATCATGCTTTTGTTTTTAAGAAAGCAGATTATTAAAGTATCATTATAAAATACTTACAGTACTTAATAATAAGTAGATGTTCTAGCATGTATAGCCTCCTTCTTGAAGTACATGCTCTAAACATTTCTTAGTGAGGCTCTGCTAGCTAAACTCTGTTTTTGGTTGATCAGAAGCATCTTTACTTTTGCCCTTGTTCTTGAAAGATGATTTTTCTGTGCGCACAAATCTATTTTCTCCTAGCACTCTGAAGATTCTGCATGTTCTTATGGCTTCCATTGTTGCTATCAAAAGGTTAGCCATTAGTTTAATTATTCAGAGGGCAGTCTGCCTCTTCTCTCTGATAGCGTTAATGTGTTCTTTTTGTCTTTGATGTTCTTAGTCTCTATTTATCACGCTTGCATGTCACAGTGCCTCAAGTCTGAGAATGTGTCTTTCATCGGGTAGGAAATATTCTTAGCCAGAACCTCTGAGTAGTACCTCTCCCAGACTCTATTAGATCCTCTCACTCTATACTCCATGTTCTTTGACCTTTCCTCCCCATATTTTCTACCTCTATTTTACATTCTAGGTAATTTGTTTAGACCTCACTGTGAATTTAGTCTCTATACTGTGTGCCTAATCTGCTCTTTATCTCATCCATGGAGTTCGTTTTTAGTTTATGGTACACAATTATAATTTGTCCAAGCAAGGCCCCTCTGGCTTTGTCTACTTATTCTCTCTTATCTCTAATCTTCACCATTATACTTCTCCCCATCATAGGGAAACATTCTAATGTGTTTGATATTTGTCTTTTCATAAGTTTATATTTTTATAAAACATATTACCTGTGTGCATGTTAATTTACATAAACGAATTTTCTATATATGACATCCTTCTTAATTTTCTTATTAAGCTCTATATTTTTAAAGATATATTCATATTACTATATATATGTATATGTACATATATATTTAATCTGTTGCTTCTAACTGCTATGATCTCTTCACCCCCTGATGTAAACTGTATCCATCGGATACTTAATTTGGGGGAGAGGCCAAAGCAGGAACTAAAAATTCCTCCCCTACCTCTCCTCCCACTGCTGTGTCCACCATCCTCTATCCCGGGCTGCCGCAAACTCTGTCCCCAACCCCTATAGTTTGCACACACACACGCACACACAAACACACATACAGAGTCCATGACTACCTTCATTCTCCTTGAGATGTTCTAGATCTGTTATGTTCTATCCTTAGGGCCTTACGACCCTCTCCCTTCTGTGGGTTGATTGATGTTGAGCCAGGGTACCAGCTCCCAACTTGTCAGCTTTCAGTTTTTCTGATCTCACTGAATTTGCTAATAAGTTCAATGATTTCATATTCAGTTTGAGAACTCTCTTTTGTTCTTCTTATCTGCCTGGTCATTTTTTTTTTAGGATTTTATTTATTTATTTGAGTGAGTGAGAGAGAGCACAAGCTGGGGGGAACGGCAGGCAGAGGGAGAAGCAGACTTCCCGCTGAGCAGGGAACCTGATGTGGGGCTTGGCCTGAGCCAAAGGCAGACGCTTAACTGACCGAGCCACCCAGGCGCCCACTGCCTGGTCATTTCTGATGTCTTTTTCCTTCATCATATGCTCAGTATCCTCTTCCATTTCTTCAAGTACATTAAGAAACCTATTTTATATTATGTATCTGATGTTTCTAAATCATTAGTGTCTCGTGGTTCTGATTCTATAGTTTGTTTGTTTCTGTAACTCTTACTCACTATGGCTTGTTTATTGAGCCCGTATTCCTTGGAATTTTATCTCTGGAAATTTTTTAAGACCTGAGTTTAAAACTCATTCCTTCAGGGAGAAGTTGATTTTTTTTTTGCCTGACTGCTGATGTTATTATCAAATTCACATCACTTTAAGTTTGCGGCTTGAGAGGGGATGAAGGGTGGGAGATACATAGGTAATGTGGGTTCTAGCCTTAAATCAGCTACAAAGCAGCCCTATGATTAGGAATAGATGGGAGACACTTTCTATTTTGTTTTGTTTTGTTTTGTTTTCCTTCACCATCGCTGAGAGAGGCAAGTCTACTGACAGTCTTGCTCTGTGGAGCAAGGTTTCTTTCTAGTTCACCTACTAAAGATGTTCAGTTTGCGAGTTCTTGGCTTTGTATGGGAGTCTTTGATTTCACACACACACACCCAGCTTGGGCCCTAGGGTTTATCTTCTGCCTTCCACAAATCATAGCCCATTCTTTTTATACTAGGAGGACATCTAGTCCACCATATGACCTGAAGTAGAAACCTCCATGTGCTTACATTTGTCTCAGTAGTACACTTTTGCGATGTTACAGAGAGAACACAGGAAATTATTCAATTCTAATTTATGCTTAACTTATAACTAGAAGTGCATACAGGAATTTAGAATAGAAAGTAAGAATAAACAAAATGGTTGAGAAAATATTATATAAAAGGAATGGATAGTGGAACCAAAACAAGAGAGTCCTGTAAAAGGCTTACATCTAGTCATTAAAGCGTGTTTATGAATAGAAAAAATGTCATGGAGAAATAAGTTAGAAGACATGGATTCCAGCTATGATATGACTAGTTTGTTATCATCGACAAATCATTTTGCCTCTCATTGCTTCAGTTCCTTATTTGCAAAATAAAAATAATAAGGCCTTTTGACATGAGGGTTCATGATGAGGCTTAAACATAGTAAGATGTGTGAATTCATTTTTGAAAAGTGTAATGCAATATGCAAACATAAAGTTGTAAAGGAGATACTTTAACAAGTTGTGCCTTTTAAAAACTGTTCTTATGTATTTGTTAAAGGGAATAACTTTTTAGTCATTACATAGTTCATTATTCATTAATTCAATCAAACGTTTATTGAGCATTCCCCCTGTTCTAGATATGTTGTTATGTACTGGATTACCCTTCTTCAAGAACACACAATTTATTAGGGAAAACAACACATACACAACTAATTTATCTTAAGTGTCCTTGTAAGTAATAAATTCATCTCTTTAAAACAGTTTTAAAATTCTGATTTACCTCTAGATCTAGCCTCCCATCACTTATTCCAAAGTAGTGTTCTGTAATGAGAAATTACTGTGTGCCTAATTACACACAATAAAACATATACAGCGGGTATTGTGATTTTGGGACAAAAATAGCCAAACCAAAAATAGCCAAACCAAACCTTACTGAGGCTCTAAAATGTCTTAAAAACTATATTTTACATATCATAAAAACCCATCTTTTCATTTTTATAGCCTCCCCAAAGTTTCAAATTAAAGGAAATGAATAATAATATTGTTTTATATCAATGACTAACAATAATGAAGCATCTAGTAGCAAAAACTAAATGCTCTGAAGGTATTAAGAAAAAAGCTATTTAGCACTAAATAAGGCATGCTGCTAAGCAACCTACATGGGAACATTTATCCGCCTTCTTTTGGTTTTCCTGGCACACTTAATTATATCTTCTTCATTTTATCATTAAGTGTGGGGTCACAAGTCTAAGGTAAGGGGGTCACAACTCAAAATCTACATGATGACTTCTGTTTATTTTCTCATAAAAAAATAATTTGGGTAACATTTCCTGTAAATGTCTTCTCATTGAACAGTGGAATCTTAAAACCAATTTCAAAGATCAAAGCACAAAAATTATTTAGGTTTTGATCTTAGCATAAAATAATGTCAATAATTATAAAAGAAGAACTATGTGCCCTTAGAATGTGCATTGTTTTTAACCTATTAAATTCACAATATTGCAAACTATTATTTACTTGAACTGCATTATTAGATATTCATATTCACATACTCAATTAAGAAAAATTTAGCAAGCCAAGATTACATTCCCTGTAGCATTATTTTAAATTATAATGAGCAATCACATAAAACTCTCTACTATTTCTCTAAAGCAATTATTACTTAGTCTTATTCATAGTG